GTGTGTGTGTGTGTGTGTGTGTGTGTGTGTGTGTGTGTGTGTTGAATGGCTGGGTTTGCGTGTTTGTAATCATGGTGTCCAGAGAAGGATGTCTATTATCTTCTTCCACAGCTCCCAACACTGTTTCCTTGAGACACATTGTCCCATTGAACTTGAATTTCACTGTTGTGACCACATTGTTTGGGCAGCCAGCTCTGAGGAACCACTGTCTCTTCTACAATAATTGGGTTACTGGCATGCTCAAGCATGTCTGGCTCTTTAATTTAGCTCTATGACATGGATTCAGGTCTTCATGCTTGCAGAGCAGGAACTCCTAACCATTGAGATTCTCTAAGCCTGTTTTAGTTTCTCCTAACATTTTAAACTATCTGAAGGAAGGAGAGAGCAATGAAATATTTTTCTCCACTTAGCAAGGGATGAAACTGTACATGAAAGCTTCCTTCACTAATTTGTCTAACATTTCTCATTTGATATTATGGTAAGTGTAAATTTCAGGACCTCAGGTCTGTCTGGGTATATGGGATCAACTTATGCACAACAGATGTTGAGTACAACTCTGTCCTCCACAATCTGGATTCAGACCAGGCACTAATATAATGACCACAGCACATTGTCTCCAAATGATTCTCAATGTCCCCATGGGAAATGATTCCAAGCAGATCCCTTCTTAGACTAGGCCAGGAAAAAGGCTGACTGAGAAAGGAATGGAGGAACCAGAGCTCAGTGTGTGGTTGTGAGCCTTGTGTTTCAGGAGTGATCTGGAGAGGGCTGAAGGCACTTCAAGAGCTTACGAACCCCTCTACCAAAGACCCCAGGCATTGCAGAAAAGAGTCCAAGGTAGTGGACTAGAGCATGAGAGGAGGAGATAGTGACCCACTTTTACTCACTGCCTCCCAAACCTGTGTCCATCTCTTATAACCTTAGGCAGGGTAAGACGCACCCATAAGCATTGTCATAATGTCATCTCTGATGAGGACATGATTCACATAAACAGCAATAGCGAAGTCTTTCCCATCAACAAAGATGAAAACAATGCGGTGCTTTGGCCCTGTGGAGAAAAATATATCATATAGCTGAAGGGCGATGACACCAGAAAAGGAAGACTATAAACCTAATCACTTACAGATGTAGAAGACACCAGGTTGATGTTTAATTTCATTCAGATATATCTTGAACTCAATACACCCAATAGGTCTTCTGTAACACAAGATAAAAGCATGGCTTTCTCTATGACATCAGCCCTATCCTTCCTTTTTGCCATCTTTGAGCTAATTAGTGAGTTGACCCTAGATCCTTCTGATACAGATAGCAAGCAGTAGAGCAAACATCAGCACATGGCTTTCCACAATCTTTGTGTGCTCCACTTTACAGAAGGTGAGAAGACCAGAAAGATGTGGTGCATATCTGAAGACTTGCCCATTTTCCCAGTTCAGAACGGGATTCCTGCCAGTCCAGGCAATTTTCCCTAGGAGACCACGTCCTGTAGTCATTCTGCTACTGTGTCTCCAAAAGTATCTCCCAGAAGCCACAGTCCTGGACCTGCTGTCTCTACCCCTGCGTTCTCACTGGATATGGAGCTGAGTGAAATCTGAGGGGCCTGAAGTTCTGTGCCTGCACAGATATAAGCACAGCAAGTACACTGACTCCAGAGGGCAAAACAGCACTGGAAAGGAAAGCTTCAACCTTCCAGGGAGTGTTATAGGAAAATAGAATATTATGCATCGGACCTTCTGTTTGTATCTCATGTCCTGTGAACATCTCTGCCATGCTTATGGAAGTCACCTGACACATTGCCCAGAAAATATAAGAGGATTCCATGTTGATATCGAGTTCCCAGTTGATGTTAGGGGCATGCACATGGCTAGTGTGTTGAGTCCAAGGAGCCTAATGCAAGGAGGGCTCTCTGAGGGCGGGTACTCACGAGATGTTCATCCTAAACTCCAACTTGCCAATAATGTTCTTGACGAATGTGAAAGGTGGCAGTGGGCTGAACTTCTTTTTTTCAGGAATAGGCATATTTCCTGCCCAACGATTTATGTACCACTTTCCTAGAAGCTAGAGAGCAAAGCCACTCTTGATGGGGAAGCATGGGAAGGGGAAGACAGACTAAGGGGTTCTAGGAAGTAATTGAGATGGGAAGAAATGAAGGCAGGGACTGGGGTAAGGTCCCTGTACCATTTGAGCAATAATGATACATTGAAGCATCAAAAAGAGTCTTGGTCATGGTTAGTTCCTCTCTGTCATGAATGGGCAGATCCAAGCAAGATAGTACCGGGACCTTGAATGAGAGATATCATTCCTGGGACAGGTTGGTTCTGGAGTTCCTGCACAGTTCCTACATAAAACAGGAAAAAAAAACACCAACAACCCCACACTATGCATGATAAGGAGATGCCCAATCCCTTTATTCTAAGACTGAGAGGGACTATTGAGCCATATTGAACTGTAGTTGTCAAAGGGAGGCAGGGCACCCAGACACCAGCTTAATTCATGGGGCATGATTGCCTGTAGGTAAACTGAGTTACCAGGAACAGGCCACAAAAAAACAGAGAATCCACAACAGGCATCTTTATCCATCGGTACCAGGGCCTTGGAGGCCTGCTCATCCTCTCCTGAGTCTCTCATCTTCTCAAAACACATCATCACTTTAAGCATCAGAACATCTTAGGAAGTCCATCCCTCCAGACCTCCCCATACCCAGCGGTGCTCAACCCTCTGCAAGCAGCAGCCCTGCATTATGTATATTGTACTGCATGAGGCTTTTGTTCAGAAATAGAAACTGAACAGAGTCATTTCTGTGGAGTTAAAGTTTATAAGAAGACCACAGGCTGACAGAGGTAGCAGTGGGTTTCTGTGGCATACGATGAGACAGAATTATCAGTAAGCCATCATTCTGCTCTCAGTACCCCTGTGATGTCAGATATCAGGAAAAGCCATGCTGGAGGGCAGACACTGAGTTAAGAAAACAGCATCAAGGTCTCATCAGCAGCATGAAAACTCACCCAATCCATGGGAACCCAGTGTACAATTCAGTCTGCCCAGCACTCTCACCTCATCAAGAGTGACATTCTGTTGATAATTCCTGTAGGATGATTGCTCCACAATGGGTAGGGTCAGAACCACAGTCAGCAGGAGCAGCTGCATAGTCTCCATTATGCTTCTATGCTCAGGGCCTCCCAGCAGCACATATATTCTGCACTGGGTGACTCCTAATTTGCACAAAACCCTTATCTGTGCTATACTGTGCTATAGTCCAGTTGCACTGTTTTGTTTGGACTTCATGAATACATGGTGCTAATTTTTGTAATTAATCACCTGCATGTGCTTTCACTCATCCTTAGAAAATCTTATCAGAAAAGAGAATGTCATCAGAGTGGGAAGTAACACCTGAGAAGCCAGAGCCAGAAGGATAACAAGGGCTGCCGTGTTCTCAACCTCCCCATGACTGGCTGTTTTCCCATTAAAAGATGCCACAACACTTTCTCTTCCAACTCAGAACCTCCAGTTTCTAGAGCAGCCAACAGCCTGTCTCCACACAGTAGTGCTGGACACAGGAGTGTGCTCTCCAGCTACAGTACCCTGATAACTGAGCTATGGTGTCACCCTTCAGCACCCTAGCCCAGTGTCCTGCCTCCCCCCTTCTTTCCATCCTCTTGAGAGTGCTGCAAACCTCCCTAACTCTTCACACTCTCACAGCTGAGCTCTATCAAGGTGGCAGCGGGGTCCTACAATGCACCTAAATCCCAACGCACCTTTTCATAGAACAGCTGCCTTCACTCTTTCCAGGCGTCAAGATTAATTGGGAGTCAAGACTCTGACAAAAGTTTCTGGGAGTTCCTACATCTTGCTTCTCTTCCATTCTCTGCCACAACACAGTGCAAACACACTGTGTGCCTGAGTGTATTGAATGTGGGTCTATGTCTAGGCAGCTGTGAGAGACTGAAATCAGTATTTTGATTATGTGTTAATGTGTGTAAATGTCTCTGTGTGCTGATACCTTTGCTTGCTTGTGTAAATTTGTGCCTGTGTAGTTCTTTTATGCATTTTTATCAATTTGAGATGTTTTGAATACATAGATAGATGCATGTCTGTGGGTTTTTCTCTGTGACTTGTACCATTGTGCATATGTGGGCATGTCATTGTATAAATCTTTTTTCTGGTTGTGAACCTGTGTCTGTGTGTGTTCCCGCCAGTGAGTCTGTGTGTTTTGTGTATAATATCTGTTTATGTACGTTTGTGTTTTAGTTTCTTTCATATGATGTTTGGGATATGAAGTGGTATACACAGGATCTGGGTTTGAATGCTTTGTCACTTGTGAAGGCACTTTTTTGGGAAATGTGGAATTTTGGCACTGTGGCCTCACTAGGTAACATACATATCAATGGAATCCCCTTCTAGGTCTTTACTGAGCACTCAGGTCCCTGCTCTGCAATGATAAAAACAGGATCAGGGGCAATATCCCACAAGTACCAACATTAAGAAAAAATGAAATAAAATTGGCATTTTGAAAAGAGAATGATAAATATCAACCTTTAAGCTAAATAAAAACTAAAATTGAAAACAATATATGAGGTTCAGTGTGGCTGGATTTATTTTGAGGTATTTGATCCATTTGGACTTAAGTTTTGTGCATGGAAATAGACATGGATCTATCTGCAGCCTGCTACATGCCAGCATCCAGTTATGCCAGCATCATTTGTTGAAGATGCTTTTTTTTCCATTGTATAATTTTAGCTTCTTTGTAAAAAATTGGGTGTGTGTAGGTGTGTGAGTTAGTATCAGGGTTTTCAGTTCGATTCCATTGGTCTACCTGTCTATTTTTGTGTGAACACCAAGCTATTTTCAAGACTGTACCTCTATAATAGAGCTTGAAGTCAGGATGGTGATGTCTCTGGAAGTTCCATTATTGTACAGGGTTGTTTTGGCTATCCTGGATCTTTTGCTTTTCCATATAAAGTTAATT